TCCCTGACGAGACGTCGACATATTGTCACGTGGCGCGAAGATGAACATTGAGAAGTCGAAAGTCGCCCACGCGACCTCGAATTCGGCGAGGCGAGCACACCCCGAGGAGGAGAGTCGATTACGCGATTCGCTTTCTCGTGATCCTTGTTTATTTTCTTGATTTCGCGACGGTGCGAGTTAGGTCGTTCTCTTCGAGTCGGTTAGGCCTCAAGGTCGTTCCGCTAGACCTTGTCGAGTGTCCTGAACGTGACGCATCCAAGATTCGTCGGTTCGCAACGCGCACACAACACGGTCACACGACGATTCTAGTATCCGTCAACGATCGTCAACCAGCCAGTGACAAACGCACACGACTCCTGGCCGCAGGTGCATCACCGCACTACGGAGGTGCGAACATGTCGATCACGCAATCCGAGGGACGCCAACGAAGGCACTAAACTACGACCACAACGGCGGTCACGAAGACGACGGCCGACGTGGACCGTTCACGAAGACGAGGAGGCGAATCGGTGCGCCCCGCCAAATACTCTCGTCGCACTAAAAATACCGAGCAGCGGTGGTGAGCTCTGCGCTCCGACCAACGGAACACGATTCTCTTTCTCTGTCTCTCTCTTTCTAGAAACGAACACTTCTCGACCGATGAAAAGCAGGAGGCGACAGAGGGATAGAGAAACGCAGGACGATTCGGGAGGGAGAGAGCGGTATCGAATGAAAAGGGAAGATGAAGAAAGAAGGAGAACCGAGTATTACGTAAATTTGTCCCTCGCTTATTCGGAATGATGAAGTTTGACACGCTCTAACCCTTTACAAGTCACTAATTTGTTCTTTAGATACTCGACTGGATGACCTGATCTTATCTTATCGTCGCTTCATCAATTTTGACCTCCATCTTACTTCTTAAGAATATTTAGAGTACAGTTGCTCATTTTTCTGTGATATACTGAGTTATCTTCAAACTTTTATTATACCAATTACTAATCTCATATATTATCTCCGTATCAGTATCTTAGAGCCTAACACAAGTTTTCTGTTTTTTAAGAAAGGTGTTCATATTTTATCTATAAACATCCATTGAAACTTGCAATTAGGTTAATCTAGCTAGTCAGTACACTCATGATGTAATAATAGATCAACTCTTTGTAGTTGGTAGCTTTTCTATAACACTACAATAAATTAACTATAGAAAGTTCATAGAACTTATTCGATTAACATATAAACGCTAAGAATGAACTATTTGATCTATATAACAATATTGTTACTTATATTACATCATATAAAGAGTTGAGTCCACGTGTGTCTTCAAGATTATAAACAAAAATGATCACAGTATATATGAAACAACAAACGACCGAAGAAAACTAACAAATAACTGTACTATATAAATTCAATATTATTGAATTATATCCAAGTATTTTACTGAACTACATCCAAGTGTTCATATCACTGAATTATGTCCAAGTCGAATCATTAAATTATGTCGAATAACATTGCAAAATATTTTTCAATTCATAATTACTCACACATAATACAAATAAAAATATTTTAAAACGCATTATAATGAAATTTGCAATGTGGGTCAGAGCTGATCTTTCAACAATAAAATTTTTCGAATTACATTCATCACGAAAGAAGAAAGTGATCAGAAATAAATTAAGAACCATTCATCTGTCATTAGTCGAGTACCTATAGATACAAGTAACGCATTCTTAGGATTAAGTAACGAAGTATAAATGAACACAATGTTGAGTCAGACACGATATTAAAGAGTAAAGGGTTAAAGATCGGTGTTGGCAGCATCGCAGCTTCCTGCTGCATAGAGAGGGAGAATTCGTGCACAATGGAGCCATTGCACGAGGAAACGATCAGAGGCCTTGTGTTTTCGCGAACATAGCGCCTTGTGTCTCCCAGCACGCACCTTGACACATATAGAAATTACGAAATCGTCCGAGCACGACGTTCGAATGGGAGCAAGCTCTCGTGGTGCGCGATGAAATACCGATCTACACATATCGCATAATTAGAACGGGTCTAATTCGTTCGAGAGCGGCACCACGTGGACGCTGGCGAACTTGTTGCACCATCTGCTGAATGAATCCCGAAGACGAACCTCAACTGCGACATAAAGAATCCTTTAATTGTGGACATTCTGTGTCTGAACACTGGAAGCATCACTTGCAAATATTTAAATTAACTTTAAGTCACTTGTAGTTTTCATATGTTAAACCTTTATTATTCAACAGAATTGTTGACTGATGAGGTCTACTTTCTTGTTTCATCAAGACTCAGTAACGAAGAGAAACTTCTAGGACTTAGAAGAAAACAAGTATAAAGTAAGCTTGAAGAGATGAAACATTCTTTCTAAATTTTGACTACATTGCTCATTCATTGTTTATTCATCACTGTACCAAGAATTGTAACTTCCTGCTGGAATGAGAAAATTGTCAATGAAATTAAACTGAGACTAAACTTGAAGATATATGAAAGTTATTTAGAGTAAATATTGGAATAGAATGCTACCTACAGATTGTGTACCAACATACTGAAGATTTGAGTCATTATGACCAATTAGAATGAGAATATAGTTTATCAAGGATTCAAACTTTGGGTCTACAATTGATGAACCTAAGTTTTAATAGCGAAAAGAACAAAATTCTTCCTTGCTAAGCAATTGCAGAAATTCAAAATACTCCACATCCAATGCAAATCCAATAGCTAACCCATAAAACATTCCTGAAGAGTTGTAGCGATTAACTTGAAGACCATTCACATCAGCTATCACAGATACAACATCAGAATCGATTGGCTAGTTTCTGCGTAGCGTTTCCAAGATTCTTTCCGATTATAAATCCTAGATACTCGAAAAGCTCGGAGTGGAAGGTTGGAATCGTTCTAAAAATAGAGCAGGGGTTTTTGTCTTCAAGGTTGCGGATTCGATGATATCGAGGTCTCCTCCGGGTGTCGTGGATCCTCCGCGAATTCGAGTATCGGTATAAATACGCGTGGCGTAGAAAATAGCGGCGTAGTTCTCTCGCGACGCGTCGCCCACGAGCACCCACGTTTCTGCGCGAAATTTCTATCTGGCAACGTGGATTCGTTTCTTTCGTCGCATCCTCGTACATCACGCAGAGCGGTGATTTAGATTCTGGTTCGATTCCCGTGAAACTCGTGTTCCGGTACGAAAATACTCGAGCAAAGAACTTACGGTACAACGAAACGCCTTGAACGACCTCAAGGCTGCGGATAACACGCGAATCGCGAAGATAGAGATCATGATTGTCGAGCGTGCACCAAACCGCAGAGACAAAGAGACTTTCGTCCAAGAAAAGAACATGTTCGTGCAATCAGTATCGCACTTTGATCGCTTCCGTCACTCTGACGGTTCCAGAAACGCGTACAATCGTTATCTCGAGAATAATAGAAAACGAGTTGCAGTTTCAGAGGGGGTTACAGGAGATAGGGCACGAAGAAGAACGAGAGAGCGCGCGTCTATCGTGTTCCTCCGCTCGAGTCTGCCAAATATAACCGAGAAGCGTGAAACGCGTGCACCATGATTGCCTCGTAAGACGAGCGAGCGAGCGGATCGTTGTGGTTGGGCGGCATGTTTAAATGTTAAGGCGAGTACCTAGCTAACTATCGCTCGCTCACTCGCTGGCTTATTCCGCTCGTTTCGTGTCACCGTTGCTGCTGCGCGTGGCAAAATGCCAGAAGAAACAAGTACACATGCGTAGGTGATTCGCGATGTTACGCCGAGTTCAGTCTTGGGTACATTCTAACGCGGTATGCGTGCTCTTCAACGTCGTCGCTTTTATCACGCTGCTCGAAATGAAGGTTTACTCTGATACGCAATTGACGTAAGGTACATTCACTTTTGTTTGTCCTTTCGTATCGAACATGTTACCTTTACTCAGAGAGAAATACAATATAGTTCCTTATATTCGTCTTAACACTTATGTGGACAATTGGATACCCTGTGTTATTATTTAGATTTACCGCTTTAACTTTATGTGGACAATCATGTGCCTGAGACTTTAACATGAGGTTATACAATCCTTCATCTCCACAAAAGTTATTCAATTCAATATAAGTAACCTAAGCTGTGTCATTTTGAAAAATTCCACCAGTATTAATAATTTATGTAAAATATTTTAAATCACAAAGTCTTCCATTTTCATTGTCCACATATGGATTAACAAGTTCTCTACCATTATTTAAAAAACATATTGCTCTTCACAGTCCTTGTATCTAATTATTATAATTTAACACAACGTTACTCATGCTTTTATAGACATACTACCAAAATACACTACTTAGTATAACAAATATGTGATGTTAGACTCTAACTCTTGTACTATACATGTGTGATATTTGGTAGTGAAAGTGTTAATACTAGAAAATTGCTATGTACACTATCTAATAAACGAGTGTACAATAAAGCCAGAACAGAATCATGTCGTGTGAAGTAGATATAAGATAACGGGCCCCACAGTTGGACGGATACGTAATTGGACAGGTCCATTTATGAGTGCTTTTCTTGCATCTGCTGAGTCAAAAGCGTCTAAATACTGGAACTGTCCAAGTAGTCGTCTCACTGTTGGACCGTTATCTTACATTAATTTTAAAGTACTGTAAGATCTGCTTCTATATCGCTTTTCTCTCGAGGAATGCTAACATGCTCGGTGGATCTCTGTATGATTAATTTTCCGAAGATGAAATAGTAAAGTATCTTCTTCTAACACATCTTTAAAACATTATCAGTCATTCTTCTCCGACATAGGCTATGTAATCTCTCGATTTGTCTAAATGACTCCTCAGATCTCATTCGACAGCAACCGAGTTTTGTTGTGCAGCCATATCAAAGTAAAAGCGTGCCAATTAACCAGCAATGATTAATGACCTCTAGAACATGTGTACGACAACAGAAAGTCTTATCTTCATACTGGAACATGTAATGCAAGCTATCATTCAAAGACCATCCATTATACTATGTCATAAATAAGTAACAGAAAAATACCTTACTATTCCATTTAATTCGCAAAATAACCAAAGATGTAACATATCCAGACGTGTTCAAATCGTATCAAATCGTCTGATCGCACTCAACTAGCTCCTCCAACCGTTCACGTTAAACCTGAAAATCTGGAGCACGTAAAATTAAGAACAAGTGAATCGACTGAAAGTTTTCTAGCTAATAACGACGTACCCAAGACTGGACTCGCGAGGGGATTATCAGAACGCGATTGGTGAACGTGAGATCACCAGAGAGTACAGAAAGCCCGAATGATTACAGCGATGCGTTAACACATACACACAGACACGCACACGCACGGTCTCTACCATTATCGCAGGATGTATCGTTACGGTGTACAAGCATCTCGTTTCGTTCATGCTACCTCGGAAGTGGATGTGCCGTTAGACTCCGGCGTCACGTCGAGCTTCGTATCCAGTTGCCCAGTCATTTCGGGCACGTTACACTGCACCCAGGACTCCCAGCCGTGTCTGGGCCACCAGGAGATGTTCCCGGTGGGCATCAACAGGTTCAGATCCTGTCCAGCGATCATCGACGACGACGACGAAGCTGAGGACGGTCCACCGTCCGCCAGACCGCCGCCGCCACGCGTGCACCAGCTTCCAGGATGATCCAGGTTGACGGTATGCGTTGGGTGCGAGGCAATTTTGGATTCTAGGATAAAACACCTCCGTCGCTCTCACGGGAGCATCTTGCCAACCGCTACGAGTATTTCTAAATCCAGGTTGTGATCGATTCTGGGTCAGCCCGCTCGGATGATCTAGCGCCTCGGGTTACCTCACCGCGCGTAAACACCGTCGGGTCTTCCTTCCAAAGCTAATCTCTTCAGCATCCAACCTCGATCTCCTTCAGGATACGGTACACTTTGTCATCCACTCTGGACATACGTGTCTTCGGTTCAGGACTGGAACATCGTGGCTCGAACAGAACTCGCACGCGGATTTCGCGATCGAACCGCAACTTCCCGGTGATCGATCGGCGAGGAAACTCGTGTGTTGGCCTCCGGCGAACCGGCTTCCCTGCCGGCGCGTTTTCCGACGACGATGCGGACGGTGTTGCGCTGGCCATCTGGCGCGGACTCGCACTAAAACCGCGGCGGAACCGTGTGTCGAGTCCTCCTCGAAAATAGTCACCGGTCGAAAATAGCCGACGCTGGCTAAGAAAGAAGAATCATCGGCATTCGGCTCCGGGTACGCGCTAGTCGCGTCGCGGCCTTCTCCAGAGACTGATCTCTCTCGCGCGTTTCTGGCGCGTACCGATTCTCCTCCTCTTCTCACGATTCGACTCTTCTTTTTCTTATTTTTCTTGTCTCTTCATTCCTTCCTCCTATCGATCTGCCTTCTCTTCGCCGCGTATTTATATCTCCAAGATAACGATGCTAACAGCGAGAGGACATCGCGCGTCCCTCGCGGACCCAGGGATGATTCACGCGGTTCTATATTGGAAGAGCGATCGCGAAA